GTTGCATGTTACTTCATTCCTAGTGTGATTAACCGTTCCTTCTTCTATCCCTTTCTAGCCTGTGCATGTTCTTCATCAGTGTGATACCGTTCCTTCTTTCTATCCCTTTCAGCCTGTGCATGTTCTTCATCAGTGTGATACCGTTCCTTTGTTTTGTCTCGCTTCTCTTGGGCGTACTGTTCATCAGTGTGATATCTTGTCTTCTTCCTGTCCCGTTGAGACTGGGCATACTTCTCATCCTCCTGGTACCGTTTCCTTTCTCGTTCCCGTTTGGCCTTCTTGCGGTCCTCAACGTTATCATTCAGTGTGGTCTTTCTCTTGCTGCTAGTGACTGGCGAGACCTCTGTAGATTCTTCACCCTGGCAAAGTGTCGTACTCCTTGTCTCTTGACAGCTCCATACTTTTGTGACAACTTCAAAGTGATTTTGGTTTGCATGATTGAGGTATATAGCATTACCTGGTTCCAACAAGATTTGATCACCAATACTTTCGTTTGATGGGTACTTAAACCACGTCCACTCCTTGCCGTACTTAGTGTACAAATAGATGCGTACTCCCAAGAATAAAGCCATTGCATCCATTTCTACCTGTGAGGCCCATGCACCAAGATCTCCTGGACGTTTCCCTCTCTCATCTCGACGGTTCAGGTACTGACACATGGTTAGTCCTCCATCGAACCAAGACCTGTAAACATTCTCAGGCAATGTTGACATAAACTTTATCAAATGCTGCCTTAGTACTTTATGATATTCTTCGGTGCCACAGATATTGTAACTAATTGCATTATAAAAACAATTCCCATCTCCTCGTATTGGAACAATACCGCTACTACAAGGTGTCTTCAAAGGGACATTCCTCTGCTCCATATTGTGGTATTCTTTAACAGTAATGATTTCATTTTCATTTTGGGCATACCTGTTTACCATACTGGCCACATTCAATTGATCTTCCCCTGTAAAAGGGTCAAAAATGAAACCTTCTTCATTATCCCAGGCCCCTGTTTCCTGTACATCCTGGTCATCAACTGGCTCGTCCCCACTTACCTCCACCTCCATGAGCATTTCAGCTGGCTCCTGTACTCCTGACTCTACTTCCTGTACTGACTCTACCTCTGCTTGCTTGTCATCCTGCTGGCAGGGCTGCTTCTCCGTTTTTTGCTCTTCCTTCCATGCACTCAACCTCTCAGTCAATTTTTTCTTCTTACGTCTAGGCATTTCTGAAACGTTTAAAATACCAGAAATTACAGGTATGTGTTAATTTTGCTGACCGGAGATCCTTTTACCTTAAATAAAAATCAGGAGCCATGCACAGGTTTGTGAGATTTTTATAGTAAAGAAAGCACACCATCAGATTTACGAGATTTTTTATCACCACCTCAAAATTCCCACCTCAAAATCCAGTCAATAAAGTTGAAATAAAGTAACATAATCCGTAAACCGGTATACCAAAGCCCCACATGTACAACTATAAGGTTGAACCCATATAATTAATACTAGTAGCCAAAATTTCCCTAGCGAGCAATCGCCCCCCTCCCCCACATCGTCCAAAAACAAAGAAAAACACTGGCCAAAATCCTCTATGATCAGTAAACCGAAGGCACACGTTTACAACCACAAGGTTGAGCTTGATGCATTTTCATGTAGTAATCACTTACCGCAAATAAGGTACTAGTAAATACCCCGGTACAACTTCAGATCGATATAGACAAAAATATTATAGAGACAAGTCGAATGTTATCGTTCGCGCGAGGAATGGTGGGATTTTTCTTGGGGCCTGCATGACGTTTTATGTAAGGCGTAATCAGACCTTTTCACTCAGTCTTCATAATACGTAGAAAACCACCAAAAAATCAAGGTAATCCGTAATAGAACAGTAGCTGCAAAGCGTTAAGTCGTAATAAGGTCTGAGACGTTAACGTAATTTGTAGTTAGCGGCGAAAATGTTGCATAATTCGTAATCACAACCCCCATGCAGGCCCTCTTCACCATCCTACAGTATCTCTATGTTCCTATCGAATTCCTATGGCCCGCGCTAATTAATGTCGTTATTACAATGTATTACAGCACCCACATATCTCTACGTGCACAAACAATGGTCTATAGGAGGAACTCTGACTATCCACGTCTTACCTGATGATATTTCCTGCTATTTGACGCACAAGATACTGCCAGTGCTGGCACGAACCTGGCGCTGGCAGCAGAAATTACGTCCGCTATGCAGACGACCAAATGTGAAAAAGATCACGTGACGAATATGACCAATCAGCGTCAACGGAAGAAATTCGCGGGAGATTCGAAAAGCGTTCTATGATTGGTCTGCGTCAGATTCATGGTGCATTGCGACAAATCCTAACTAATCAGCTTCAGCGTTGGAAATTCGCGGCGGATTTGAAAAGCTTTCTATGATTCGCCTATAGAAACAGCAAAAAAAATACAAAACTACGACGTATTGCGGCAAAATACTAAGTTTGGCCAGTAAAATGAGGGCAAAAATGTCTACATGTAAATGTAACAGTTATGTCTTACCTGCCTATTTGGCGGGTATCGCCGCTGGAATGTAACCCGAACCTTTTGTTGTATTGTTGATAGCAGTTTCGCCGTAGCGGGCATAAAATATGGATATTAACACAGGGTCTTTTCATCGGAGAAATTGGCTAGCTGGATGAAAATAGCCCTGTAGCTGTAGCTAGATCACGTTTCCACCGCTTTTACAACACTCCTTTTCCCTGGCCAAACTTGTAAACAAACATAAGAATGTGCCTACCAGGCGTAGGTGGTAGAAAATAAATCAATAAGCCATCAGCCAATCAACAGCCAGATGTACAAAAATGGCCACACCTGTTGCATGCTTGCATATGCCCATATTTGGGCCCGCCCCGAATTCCTTTCTTATTACGTCACGCGCGTACGCCCCACAGTACTTTCCTATGGGAACAGCTAAAAACGCAAATAAAACGATTGTAAAAGCTTGTATAAAAAAAAATAAAAAAACGCCTAGGGGTATTTACCCACTCTACCTTTATACGAAATTCCAGGTCGTTTGGCTCAAAAATGAAGGAATTGAATCAATTTAAAGAAATGGCAGGAGAAGGAGGAGGAGGAGGAGGAGAATCATCAGTAAAAACAGTATTTCACTCCATACTTTAGTATGGAGTGAAATAAGAATATTTTTTTATGTATCGTCTAATAAATAATTAACAATCCACACGTTAGACTGAATGCAAGGAAACTAATCGGATGCATGGCAATGAGTTTGTATCATCAAAAAGATTACACTGACAGGTACTTTTGGCATAAGGAACTAAAAATTATTCAAGAGTCGTCCCGTTAATTTTTCTATATTAGGTAGCAGCTTAAAGATGACAAAATGCTGCAAGGTAAATAAAGTATAAATTTTGATGTTTTTTCCGCTCAACATTGATTGCATCTTAAATACCATTTGCCTATGCATCGTTCAAATTGGTTTACATTATTTTAAGAAAATGCTTTTCTGGGGACAAATATAGTGATGTCACTTACCAATAGCAAGGAGAATAGCGAAAAGAGCGGGAAATGCTGCCATCTTGAAGAGACTCAAAACCCGGAATGAGCAAAATCTTCTACGGAGTCTAAGATGTCTGCCCGAGTTGTCCGCTTTCGCATGTGATTGGATGATTTTCTTTCGTCTTTGTGTTTTGTAATCTACTCTGGCCATATGACGTCACTCTTGTGATGTGGGCGTGTCGTGCATACAACCGATCGGGCCTAGCCCCAATACGTCCTGACTGATATACAGCTAGTAAACGGTGCAACAACTACACGTAGATGCCATTTTACCAACGGAGATGCGATCAGAAATGTCTTATGGACTTTATACCGTTATCCTTTGATTTAAGGTTGAAATTTTCTTACAGGTGTATTGTACTGCCATGAATTGTTGGAATGCATTGTAGCCTAAGGCAGCAATTATGTTAATTAGCGACTAGGGTCGTTTCGTTAATTTTCTTATATTAGGTAGCAGCTTGAAGATGACTTGAGGAGAACAGCGAAAAGAGCGGGAAATGCTGCCATCTTGAGGAGACTCAAAACCCGGAATGAGCTAAATCTTCTACGGAGTCTAAAATGCCTGCCCGAGTTGTCTGCTTTCGCGTGTAATTGGATAATTTTTTTTTTCGTCTTTGTGTTTTGTAATCTACCCATGTCTGATGTTGTCACTCTTGTGATGTGGGCGTTTCGTGGGCAGAACCGGTTGTGCCTAGCCCCAATACGTCCTAAATCATAAAAAGCTTTATTAAACGGTGCAAAAACTACAGGTAGATGCAATTTTACCAACGAAGGGTCGATCAGCAATATCTTATCGACTTTATACCTTTCTCCTTTGATTTTAAGTGGAAATTTTCTAACAGGTGTATTGTACGACCGCAAATTGTTGGAATGCCTTGTAGCCTAAGGCAGCAATTATGTTAATCCGCAACTCTATATACTGCTTACCAGGCGATCAACACTTGCTTCGCACGTAATGTACTTTTCATTCATTGTGGCGGTTTGGATGTTAACTTAATTAGTTCAGAAAAGACTACAACTAAGAATATTTTTTTCATGTATCGTCTAATAAATAATTAACAATTCACACGTTAGACTGAATGCAAGAAAACTAATCGGATGCATGGCAATGAGTTTGTATCATCACAAAGATTACACTGACAGGTACTTTTGGCATCAGGAACTAAAAATTATTCAAGAGTCGTCCCGTTAATTTTTCTATATTAGGTAGCAGCTTGAAGATGACAAAATGCTGCAAGGTAAATAAAGTATCTTTGATGTTTTTCTCCGCTCAACATTGATTGCATCTTAAATACCATTTGCCTATGTATCGTTCAAATTGGTTTACATTATGTTAAGAAAATGCATTTCTGGGGACAAATATAGTGATGTCACTTACCAATAGCAAGGAGAATAGCGAAAAGAGCGGAAAATGCTGCCATCTTGAAGAGACTCAAAACCCGGAATGAGCAAAATCTTGTACGGGGTCTAAGATGTCTGCCCGAGTTGTCCGCTTTCACGTGTGATTGGATGATTTTCTTTCGTCTTTGTGTTTTGTAATCTTCTCTGGCCATATGACGTCACTCTTGTGATGTGGGCGTGTCGTGCATACAACCAATCTGGCCTAGCCCCAATACGTCCTGACTGATATACAGCTAGTAAACGGTGCAACAACTACGCGTAGATGCCATTTTACCAACGGAGATGCGATCAGAAATGTCTTATGGACTTTATACCGTTATCCTTTGATTTAAGGTTGAATTTTTCTTACAGGTGTATTGTACTGCCGTGAATTGTTGGACTGCCTTGTAGCCTAAGGCAGCAATTATGTTAATTAGCGACTAGGGTCGTTTCGTTAATTTTCTTATATTAGGTAGCAGCTTGAAGATGACTTGAGGATAACAGCGAAAAGAGCCGGAAATGCTGTCATCTTGAAGAGACTCAAACCCGGAATGAGCAAAATCTTCTACGGAGTCTAAAATGCCTGCCCGAGTTGTCTGCTTTCGCGTGTAATTGGATAATTTTTTTTTTTCGTCTTTGTGTTTTGTAATCTACCCATGTCTGATGTTGTCACTCTTGTGATGTGGGCGTTTCGTGGGCAGAACCGGTTGGGCCTAGCCCCAATACGTCCTAAATCGTAAAAAGCGTTATTAAACGGTGCAAAAACTACAGGTAGATGCAATTTTACCAACGAAGGGTCGATTAGCAATATCGTATGGACTTTATACCTTTCTCCTTTGATTTTAAGTGGAAATTTTCTAACAGGTATATTGTACGGCCGCACATTGTTGGAATGCCTTGTAGCCTAAGGCAGCAATTATGTTAATCCGCAACTCTATATACTGCTTACCAGGCGATCAACACTTGCTTCGCACGAAATGTACTTTTAATTCATTGTGGCGGTTTGGATGTTAACTTAATTAGTTTAGAAAAGACTACAACTAAGAATATTTTTTATGTATCGTCTAATAAATAATTAACAATTCACACGTTAGACTGAATTCAAGAAAACTAACCGGATGCATGGCAATGAGTTTGTATCATCCAAAAATTACACTGACAGTCGTCCCGTTAATTTTCCTATATTAGGTAGCAGCTTGAAGATGACAAAATGCTGCAAGGTAAATAAAGTATCTTTGATGTTTTTCTCCGCTCAACATTGATTGCATCTTAAATACCATTTGCCTATGTATCGTTCAAATTGGTTTACATTATGTTAAGAAAATGCTTTTCTGGGGACAAATATAGTGATGTCACTTACCAATAGCAAGGAGAATAGCGAAAAGAGCGGGAAATGCTGCCATCTTGAAGAGACTCAAAACCCGGAATGAGCAAAATCTTCTACGGGGTCTAAGATGTCTGCCCGAGTTGTTTGCTTTCGCATGTGATTGGATGATTTTCTTTCGTCTTTGTGTTTTGTAATCTACTCTGGCCATATGACGTCCCTCTTGTGATGTGGGCGTGTCGTGCATACAACCGGTCGGGCCTAGCCCCAATATGCCCTGACTGAGGAACAGCTTTTAAACGGTGCAAAAACTACACGTAAATGACATTTTACCAAGAGAGATCAGCTAATTTCTGAGGGACTGAGGGACTTCATACCGTTCTCCATTGATTTTAACTTGAAATTTTCTTACAGGTGTATTGTACTGCCGTCAATTGTTGGACTGCATTGTAGCCTAAGGCAGCAATTATGTTAATTAGCGACTAGGGTCGTTTCGTTAATTTTCTTATATTAGGTAGCAGCTTGAAGATGACTTAAGGAGAACAGCGAAAAGAGCCGGAAATGCTGCCATCTTGAAGAGACTCAAAACCCGGAATGAGAAAAATCTTCTACGGAGTCTAAGATGTCTGTGATTTGGGCGTTTCGTCGGCAGAACCGGTCGGGCCTAGCCCAAATACGCCCTGACTTATAAAAAGCTTTATTAAACGGTGCAACAACTACACGTAGATG